TGATATTCTAATAAAAAAATACAAAAAATATGGTCTATTTAATTTACAGTAAAGCTGGCCAAGATTTGCATTAAGTTTTAAGTTTCATAAACTGTTATTACATGTAATAATTCGCAGTAATTAATACTTGCATGTTATGTATAAAAACTTATTTGGTCTTTTCATAAGTCGGTTACAGCAATTATTTTATGGAGGTTGGAACTTGTAGAGAGTGTATTTCAATGATTCTTTTAAGAAACACAATTATTGTTATGTTAGGTAAAATAACTTTAAAAATAGATTTTATTTTTTATGAGTTGGTGTACACAATAAAAATAATATTCGATAAAAAAAGGCTACCTACGCTGCTAGAAAATACAAATAATATTCGATTCGTTTACTGTTATTTTACAGTTTTTGCAAAAATGATTTTGAAACCGCTTAGTGTATTTATAAAAAGTAAAAATAACAATAACTATACAGTAAACAACGATGTTTTATAATAATAATATTTTATACCTATCGTATACCGAGTTATCGCCGTCTCACGCTACAGTGCTTTTTAATACAGAAATGAATAATTACATTAGTTTTAGTGAAAACTTTGTGTATAAAACAATTTCATTAGAGTAACAGAATATTTTCATCATTTTTCTTTTCAAAACGTAGTGAAATTAATGAAAAAATAACATTTAAAAAACTATCATAGCCAGTTAATTATTTGTTTTCATAAAACTGTAAAATTGAATTTAAAAACGTTCACAGGCCCGTACTTAAGTCTTGTATTTATAACTGGGGTATAAATATATAGAAGCCAGAACAAATAGCTTAACCCACAAACGTGTTGGTCTACCACATGGCTTAAAGAAAATGGGTTTAGTATTATTGTTCAAAATTAATTACGTGTATTTTTTAGACAACAATGTTTTTTAATGTTAGGTTATGGTTTTAAAAATACATAAAATATTAAACCTATTGCATGAAATTAGTCTGTAATACCCTAAACAATTAAAATGTCCTATAATCCTTTCCTTTCTTTTAACTCAATGCTTACTTCAGTTTTCACTATCTACGCGTCATCAACAATTACAAGTTTATTTATGTTCTAATTAGAAAATGTATAAGTTAAAAATGATTTATTTAATCGAAATGTATTTATGGTCTATCATATCTATGTACATCTATCTATCATATCTACTTAACACTCGCAATACTCGCCATATACGATCAGCACATTTCTGTGGGATTACTATACTAGAAAAAAATGTGTTATCCTGTTCTCCGGGTTTCTAAAGCCGAACTTATTATATCCCATATGGAAGACACTCAAAATATATTTTCCAATTACCAACAGGTTATACCCAAACACATTTCCTAGGCGTGCCTTTCGTGTAATCCCGAGTCGTTTCCAAGTCGAAAGCACTCGCACAACACACTTGGATTAGGTCACAAGTCACAACCGACGACAATGCACATGACTCAATTACAGCCGTCTCACAAAGCCTACCCCTTCGGCTGACTGCTGTCAATACTTTTACCTGCCAAATTGTTCGATAAATAACACATCTCAAAAGTTATCCAAGACTTTTCACGGCCCCACAAATTCGGCACAGGTACCATTAGTTATTGTTACGGATAGTTAGAAAAATATTTAAACTCGGTTAATGTAAAGATTTACATTGTTGTATATTGTACATAATATACCAAAATTAAAAAAGCATACACCTATAGTTACCCGAAAATAAAAACATAAAACGATACCACCTGAAAGTGTACTCAAAATTTTGAATTTTTTTTATATCTCGCGTTTACGGTATGGTTGTACTAAATTTCATATATATTATTACTGATATTGTACACTAAAAAGTAAAAACAAAGTAGATAAATATTGAGTTTTTTTTTAAACGTTTACGTTATTTTGTTCTTGAAAAGTTTGAAGACGCAGTATTAAAAATAATATAAATGTGTTGTAAGATTCATAGTTTAGTTGTCAACGCCTTTGTTTAAATTTGTTCAGAACACGCATTTCGCGCGAAAGGCTTTATGTCTATTATACACGTACAAGTTACATATATATATATATATATATATTATATACATATATATATATATATATATATATATATATTGTATATACAGGAGGTAAATTAAAGCAATTACATTTCAACGGGACGCCGTTTCAGCATGGCTTACGTTCATTTATTCTAATTTAGCTCAGAAGATTCTTACAAAAGCAAAATGTAACCATCTAGAAAACAATACATTTAATTGTAATTTCCTCGTGAAAGCGTATTCACTATTCACGTAAGCTGAACATTAGTTGTGCTATTTTTAACATCAATAATCTAATAAACAAAACACATTTGACATTTGTATCTCTATGACCCACTTAATTGCACCTACAGCGCTCTATAATTTTTTTTAAATAGTCAATTGTTTGTATAGAATGTTCATAAGACATAGTATTATCAATACGCGTTAACAAATTGAAAAAGTATCAAATACCCTTATCCCGAGAAAGGGTGGGAACTGTTTCTCTTTATAGCTTTTTTGTAAGTAGTTTTAGGACTTAAGGTCTGAAAATTACACTAAATATGTAGAGTGGGTGGGGATGTAACATACGCATAAGTTGAAATTATAAAAGTCAAATTCGGATACAACTTCATGAATAGTTCTACAAAATACTGTGCATTATAATAAGGATTAAGGTTCAATACATACTTAAATGTTCACAATGGATCCCAAATGAAAGGTAATCTTAAATTAAAAGTATCATTCACCTAAAGGCTCCACGTAACACAATGAGTAATCCTATAGTAGCTTTTAAGTAGAACAAAACAAAAATCATAAGTACTTAAAAAAAAACAAATACTCGCTTTCTTTGACTACACCGTTTGTTAAAATAAAATCAAGAAGAGTAGAATGAAACAAACTGGTGTGCTTGATTAGGCTTTTGTTTTATATTCAGCTGATTTCATGATATTTTTTAAGTACCGTACATTGTTTATGATAAGCACAGACGTTTTTCAACTGAATTTTGTACGCTAACTCCTACGCAACAATATAATTCATAAAGGAAAATAAAACTAAACTTACTCGCTTGAAAGTTGTAAGCCCGAGAAAATAATATGAAATGTATAATTAAATTACCATCACGATTTACCTCTAATAGGTAATCCTATTGCCTTCAGAATAGTCTGTTAAATACAAACGGTTCTGTTTATGAGACAATATAACAAAGTAGTACTGGGAAATTTAATACAAATTCGTTTGCATAATAATACTGACTGTGAATAGACTTCAAAGAAGTTTTAACTAATAATAATTCTATACAAATTTAAACTCTTACTAAACAGTACACGCTCTTGGATAAGTAATTTTACTGTATAGATGTTAACTATAAAATTGTACTATACTAATAATTTTTTTTTTTTTGCCATTAAAATCAATCTCTATTGAAAAGTAAAAAGCAATTCAATATACTGCTCAACTCAATAGTCGGTTTTTTTTTACAGAAATCCCAAATATGTCAGAAAAATGCATGTTGTGGAAACGTCTGACATTTCAAAACAAATCGACGTCGGTATTTTAGAGAAAACTTTTCAACTAAACATTCATACACTTCAAAGGGAAAGTACTAATATTATTACTACCGAATAATATGATTATGCGAAATGCCAAGTGATAAACCGTTGTGATAAAAATAAGTAGTTTCGACTGGTGCATTACTCTTTGTCGTTAGCTGTGATTCATTGTACACGGACGTCAGAACATTATCCCTCTTCTCTGTAATACGACTTAACGAGATACTTTAAACAAGATACCTTGCCCGGCGGACAAATACTGTAATTGGAAGCTGATTTCACGATATCTCATTAAAACACACGATGAAAATCGAGTAACCTTATGTGAAGTTATCGAGAATTCCCATTATATTTTAACATATACACAGACAGCTGATGTTTTACCGTATGTTCGTGGCTGTCAAATGAAAAGCAAAAATAAAACTACTTTTTTGGCCTCAAATCGAAGCTAATAGCAAAAATGGTCATTAAATAGTAACTTTTATACTATCCGTTAAAAAAACGATCTGATGAAGTGTATATTTACTACTTTAAAAAATTAATTATCGAATGAAATAGATATAGTCTTTCGTCGAGAGAGTTGGCGGAGAAATGTTTTTGTTGTATTTATATGTAAACAATACAAATATTTTAAAAGCCAAATCAAATATTTAACAATATAGGAGTAGCAACTTTCGGACTTCACAAGTTAAATAGCACACACAATACACACACATATATATATTATAGTACAGTATTCGGTTGTTTATAAACGGAATATTGTGACGAACAAGCAAAAACAAAACAACGTCGCTTGATAATAGAAAACAAAATAAATAAGTAAAATACATTCTGGTTTAACAATGGGAAAATAATAATTAGCCAGACCCGAACTGAAAACAAACCATCTGCACAAATACACGGACTCCTATTCAGTAAAATATAGAACACTCGAGTAATTTCTAGTAAGTGGCAATGTTTATTGATATGGAGTACTTATTTATTCACATTTATGTACCTTCCAACTACATAAAGTGGGTATCTATAGGTACTATAATATTAATGAAAGTCGTTACCCTGCGGCTTACCGTAATAATCCTTCAGGTAAAAGGCTTTTAAACCGTCTGAAACGTTATCGGTACAATCTACCGTTGTTCACTCGTAGTCAATATAATAAGACTCCATCGTGCCGACGTCCGATGACGATCAAATGTGTTTTAATAGTTTTGAATTTTTAATTTATAGTTAAATTCAGACAGTGCAGCGCCAGACAATTGTCAAGGGCCACGAGGCCTTACTGGGCATTTAACACAATATGTGGGACCTGCCAGGGAAAAGCAACAGTGCAATTGTCTTAAATATATAAAAACGTTCAAATCGAATTATTTTCGGTGACCCTTTTCGAGTCTTAGAGTCCGAAGCCCTATTACAGGGTACATAATTTTCATTAATTCTTACCTTGCCGTCCGGTTTTCGGAATCCTTCGTAAACTTTCCATATGAGTTCCGGTCCCGCTGAGCACACCAGTTTGCCGACTTCGAACAAGTTTAAGATGTTGTTAGTAGCCAATACTTGGGCGCCCTGACCAACCGACGACGTGCCCGATTTCAGTTTGGAGAACATGGTGCCGGTGGTGGACGGCGCCGACGGCAGACTGCTGCCTCGCCTAAAATCTGACCAACCTATTTTGTTAGATGTTGTTCTGCGGCTCGAGAAACGGCCGGACAGCGTTCACTAATAAAACAAATATATATATATAAAAATTAACGTTAAAATTACTAAAAACAAAATCTTTATTTGTTTTGTTAAATTCAACTGTTCATAGTTATGGTAGTACATTTTAATAGTCAAACTTTTATACGTGCTAGGTGTTTAAAAAAAACCTAACGACATGAATCATCCGATCAGAATGAGTAAATAGATAGAATTTATGTCTAAAAAATAAGTTATTTTATAGACTTATCACCGTTGTATAGCTTGCGGATTTAACTTGCCACTTATAAATGTATTTTATGTAAAACAATAGTCGTACAAAAAGGTTCAACTGAAAGCTTTGTATATCATCTGGTTTTATCACGACGTGTAACAAGTTTTGCGCATTAGGATCACCACCTCCAGTGGAATAATACAATTTTCAAGTGAACAACGTACGCCGATACGGTAAATATTCATCAAAAACAAATAAAAAGATAATATGTTTCACTTTGGCTTTGTTGTTATGAAACGAATATCGAAACAACGTATAATATTATACTTTATTGATGTAGCAGCGTAAAGAAGTTAGGTAACACCACACGCTCTAGACAGAAATGTTTATCCGATAAGATACAAGCTATGAATTTTTATAAAACAAAATATGTAAGGAAAATTACCATACGTGTTCGTTACAAACTAACGCATTTCACATATTGTTATGTTAATGAACGGGAAATTAAATTAGCTAAATCTAATAAATTTTATTTTACGACTTTCCCAACAATTAATAAACGTATAATATAATATTATGCCGATTAATTTGACCTAATTGATATTAATAATTTACAACGTTTGTTAACCGTACTCGAAATGCGTTTTATTTTAACGCAACCATTAATAGCGTTTAGAAAATGAAAAAGGTTCCTTTTTTACAGTTTGCCTCCCGCTGGTTATGAAATATGTATATATATATATATATATATACTTCATACTTAATTAAAAAGTTGCAACGATGAAAAACGCAGCGAATATTTCACAGGTCTGCGTATCACGTTGTGTTTGAAAGTTAATGTGCGGTAACAAGGACGATCACCTGGGATTCGTTGTAACGTCCTATACCACAAAGTATTATTAACTTAAAAAATTACTCATCCCAGTGTCCTATTGTGTGTTAAAAAAATAATTAAATAAACACAATTTAAAAAGGCGTACATTTTGTTTAGGGGTGATGGGAACCAACAAAAGCAAACCGGATTAATTATTTTATTTATTCTTCGAGTAATATCATACATATTATACTACTTAAATGGTGATTTTAAGTTTTGGAAGAAGTTCGCACGCTCATTGTCTCCAAATTTAGAATAACTAAGATCACGAACTCATACAATATTCTACTTATCTACATAATAACCTGAATATTAGTTCACATTAAGTATAGTTTTTTACCAGTTACCACTAAGATCAGCGCAAGTCCCAAAGGGTCAAGTTACCTGTTTGTAATAGGATAGTGGCGGAAGCGGACAAATGTTTTCCTACCACGAAAAAAAAACTAAGAGCTAAGTTTCTTTCCATGTATACTGTAACAATAGGAAACCGCTGTTTTTCTTTAATATCAAATGCCTTTTTTGTTAAGAATAACTTATTCGCTTGTTAAAATAGTTTATTTTTAACCTCTTGCATGATTTTTTTTTGCTGGATATATTTTTTTTCTACACAAAATTAAAAAAAAATATTAGTAATAAATTATTACTAATATATTATTTCTTGCACCCATTTTTTGATATAAAAACAAGACTTGATGTTTTGTATAATAAATATCACCAATCCACAAGTCCGGTGTGATATATAAGGCCCAATAAATTGACCCAGATTACATTTATCGTATTTGATCTTACAATATTCTTTCATTGAATAAAACTTTAAAAAATCCAATCGAATTCCATAAAATGTGTTGTTTAAAATAGTATAAATATCTACCTGTAGTAATCGTTTGTGGTCGGTAATACAAATTACCGACCGATACATAAATATTTAAAAAAGGTATGATCTTTTCGTTATTTTTGTATAATTCTTGCCATCTATAAACAATGGTGTAGCAATACACGACTAATTGTTGACCTGTGACCTAGGCTGACCCAGATTATTGCCTGAATAAAAAATATCATTCAAGGCAAAATTTGGTAGGTACAAAGAATATTACTGCACTAGTAAAATGTTAAGAAAGTCTTAAACATATTTTCTCAGACCACAGTACTTTCCTATTATACCTATTAATACTAGTATCTCATTCAGAGTGACTGTTGTCTTGTCGGTCGCAACCGATTTGTTGCCACTCGACTAATGTTAAAATTGTATATTTTTTAGGAGCGTTTTCCAAGCAGTATAATATTATTGTGCATAACGTCTGTGTTACTGTATCATATATTAAAATAGTTCAGAAATAAATAATAATGGCCGGTTGATGATATCAGATACAGTTGTATATGATGAATAGTTTAAGTTGGCGTCGTTGACGTAGTTAGCACTTGAACTTTGGAAGTATCGCTATCAATTAGATCACAGATCTGAGGCAAGTGTCGCCGCCCTTTGCGATTTATCTTGGCTTCAGAAGTTATACTTTAATATTAATTTTACAAATATTGTCATGTGTACAAGATAACGACCAAGCAGTATAGCCGGATACTAATTGGGGTTTATTTATCTTTGTGTAAAAACTGCTAATTCAGCTATTTATTTTTACGCCAAAATAAATAAACCGTACTACATTATGGCTGTACAGCCGATAGCAGTACATTCTGGTTCAAATACGTGCTGTGATATGTATGTGTATTTGGCAAAGAGCCCAAATCTGATTAGTCGTAAAATGTCAACGGTGTAATGCCGCAAGTTTTCCATTCGTGGTAAAATAAAAAAAACTTGCTATTGAACTACTTCAGCATACAGGAATTAAAATACATGACATTATGTTAAAACTGCTTATGTTACATTATTTAATTCCGAGGTGCCGGGCTTACAACTCGCATTTTATAAAAAAAAAAAAAGTAACTAACTCGAGTTACTAGATCTACGTTTGAAGTAAAATAAACATGTAAGCAGCTAATTATCAGTAAACAATCTCTGCTATCGATTTATACCTATAGTCTAATATATGTATATAATTATAAATGATAAAATCATTTATACGGTCATCGCCTCACTAGGCCAAGTTGATAAACAGCCCATCTCTACAGATTTAATATTTTGGACCCTAAGACGTTGTTTTTAGTTGTAGTACACTATGTGAATGTAAAAATTAAAAAAGACCAACAAATAAAATTAAATAATAAAAACGAATAGAATAAAGTTAAAAACGGAGCAAACAATTCCAAAGTGAAGTTGTTTCTAAGTGACAGGTATTAAAGTATTAAATGTTAAATTATAATCGTCTCCTCGCATTATCCATTATTAGACGTCTGTAGACGTTATCTCCTTGCTTATTGTCTTATTCGTCAATTGAAATATTGCGTATTATGTGCATTGAGAAGCAATACGCTCAAAAGTTTCCTAAACATTGTAATAATATGTGCTTTAATTTCCTTTTGGATCACAGAATTAAAAAATGGCTAACATTTATGTCATGAACTTACAAAATATATGTAGAATGGTTACAGAAAAAGAGCAAACCATTTCATGTCAATAAGATTATTATTTATTACAAATAAAAAAAAAATTGAATTTTCTAGCGTTTGATTTGTCACAGAAAAAGTTTTGAACTACTTCAAGTTCAAACGTTTTCATTAAATAGTTTATCACAAACTATGAAGGCTATAATTTGTTATTGCCATTCCCGGGGTGAGTTATTTGTTTATAAGTTTATGATATTAAAATTGATAGTTTCCAAAACTTAAATATTTTCATGTTTACACGATAGTATATAAATGTATTATAATAAACATAATATTATTAAATATGTATAAAATATTTATTAATAATTAAAATGATATAACGTTAACCAAATTTGCTCTTTTCCAATATTTCTATAAACAGCATAAATATAATACAGTTTGAGTTATATTCGTTAAAGTTCGATGTATATATATATTTACAATGTCGAAGAAACCCTTATAACTCACTTGACTTAGTAATATTATGTTCTTTAAGAAAATAATCATTATTTGCACTTGTAATTAATCTTATTATAGAGCAAACTGTTTTAACTTATTACCTAGTATTAATCCCATTTATTTATTATTTATTCGTATGGTAATCCATTACTCGTCGACTGACCGTGACAAATTCTCTTTCAAACTTCTTTTTTTACTGAATAGAACTAATATCCAGCTATCCTATAACCAATAATCTCCTTATACTAGTAAACACGTTGAAAACATCCTTTCGAGTACATAATCATTTTTAAACTGCTAAATTGATTTTAAAAAAATAAATAAAAATACGTTGTAAAAACATTTTTGTAATTTAGAATGTTTATACCAATTTAACCGAACCTGACCGTAAGAATATTAATTTTTATAAGTTTGTACACTCAAATTACTTTTTAAACTAGTTATGATTCTCTTCAGATTGTTTCTAAATTAAAATGGAAAAGTTGTTTTACATTTTTTTTTAAGTTGAAAAAATTGTACTATAAATATACGAATAACTATAATATAATATAACATATCATATTTCACAAATACCTAATATATATTATATTTTTTTTTCGCTCTACTAAACTTTTTTATTTAAGAAATTAATTTGTAGTAGATACAAATAATTCATGAACATTACACTCTAATCTCTATAGTTTAACGCTCAACTCATTGTTGGAGTACAATTCTCAAGTAAATTATAAAAAACGTTTTATTTTACTGCACTTGTAATTATTTTTATGTGATTCTTTGTTGTCGAATAATGTATGTTTTCCCCGTTGCGTGCTAAGACGCAATGTAAAGAATATCGTTGAAAGACAGTGAACTGATTTTAGGAAGAGCCATTTAATCAGAATTTAGGCACACAAAATAGAGCCAAACCAAAAATATCCTTTTTGAATTTGAGTTTTA